ATAAACGATTATGTCGATCATCGATCCCCTCTTAATATACATAAAATGGAATATTAACTACACAATTATCAGTTTTAAAGTAATTTATGTTATGAAATAGCAAGCTATAAGTTTAATATATGATGATTTGGATCACAGCTCTGTTTCACAAAAATAAAGAAAATGGTACTGTCAAGTCTGTACCACGTAATAGACCTTTAATATATACTGTACGATATTGTACTAAAAAACTTATGATTTTCAGTGAATTCTTCGTATATAAGGTTATCTATAAATAGTAACGTCTTCAATAAGAATAAAAAGTAATTATCCGTATTTCATTAAAGAGGAATACATGAAGTATGATCGTTTAACAAAAAGGCCATATTAATTATCAATATTTTAAATCTCCGTCATATATTTGATCTTTTTTATGAACATTGAAATAGGCATGAACACCGAAATCGCAATCAGTCTAAAGAATCAAGTTGAATAATTTTCGCAAATATATTAATAATTGATTTGAGTATTAACATCTTTTGAAGAAATAAACTTAAGCTCCACAATATATGAGTACCTCGCTCTATATAAGAAGGTTAGAATATGATCAAAATTTGTTAAAATGAAGTAGACACATTTTACAGAAAAATTTGGTTTTACAGTGTAAAATTTACACAAAGAGTAAAGAGCAATGTTACGAAATTAACATATTTAAATGCAATAAATGATTAAAGAATAATTAAATGATTAAAAAAAAAAATATCTCAATTTTTGTTCAAGCAAATATGTCTGTTAAAACTATCGAGCTTGCTAGATGATCTAGCAGTTGCAGAGTGGTATATCTACATATGAATAGTCACTAGACACTATCAACGACCAGATTTCCTTTCGCAGTATGGGTTCACAAAGAAGGCATTTAAACACTTAGGAAGGAGTGATTATCCTATTAATTAACACAGATAGAACAGCAAATAAAATTGGTGAGAAACTTTTTTTTTCTTCCGATTTAGATTGTATAAAAATCAGATGGACGATAAAGTTCAGCTACAACAATTCGTCCACTTACGACATGTGTCAGTAATAAATAAATAAATAGGATATTAAGTAAAAAACTAATTTAATGATAACTCTTATAAAAAGAAAACTCTCTTAATCGTACACCAATAAGTGCATCAATCCTCTCCGGTTAATGGAATTGTTTGTTTGGAACAACGTATGTCATTCAACAGAACTTTTAGTGTTATTTTTTTTCTTTTGGTAGAAATACAAAAAATAATACTACTATCACAGTCGGGTACGTTGTGAGAGATACATCTTAATAATATGTCTGCTACTCAACATATGCATTTAGTACTCACCAACCTAACTAATTTAAATACAATAAATATAACACGAATAGTAATTACGTCATTAATAAGGTAAATATATATATTTTTTGTTAAAATTTCAATGTTTTAACTAAGCAAATGGTTTCATTAATTTAAATTCAAATGCAGATGTCTCAAACTCTTTAAGTAAGTCGAGAGCTATAAATATACAAAAAAATGTTTAAATATTAAAGATATATAAATTATAAAAATAAAAAATATCACTGCATACAAAATATTTGAATTTCGTATATTAATGCAGGTCATGGCATTAATTAATTTTCACATGCATTTAAATTTACAGTAATTCACACCTCCTCTCTTATTCAAAAAGAAAATAATATTTTTATTACAAAATTAAACAAAATGTTTATCTTATCTTGAATCAAAACATTTCAAGATACTCGTATTTTGATATTCACGTGAAACATGACACAAACTATAAAATAAATAACGAATTGACAAAAAAAATCAACTAAGGCCTACGACTTCCTAAAACAAAAAGTCAGGGGCAGCACGTGCTGAAATGTTTTATGAGCATTTTACGAGAGATGATCAAGAAGTTTTTCGAATAATATTAATTAGATCGATCATGTTAAAAAAAAAATGTGTCTAGAGAGCAGATATGCTGTGTTGTGGAATTTATTTAATGAGATATATGTATATGGTAAAGCAGTTTGGATATTTAGTCAGTTTGTTTTATTTGTATCTACCTAAATATTTAAAGATATTTTAAGTATTTAATGTTAGACACTATGCTTAAAATATATTTTATTCAAAAAAAAAAATCTAATAGAACTGGTTAAAAATAACAAAAATAATCTATCATTTTTCCCACATCAATAATATATACAATAGTAATTAATATATTTAATTGCTATCGAAAAATGAGTTTTAGATTTAGTCTTATAAAATCGTATATATACCATTTAAAATAACCTTTTATAAACATATTTTAAAACTTTTTTTACTAAGAAGACAAATTACAATAATTTTCTCATGGCCTTTTTAGGTATAAATTACAAACAAAAAGTATCTTATGATGTCAATTATTTAATAGTTGAAAATCTTCCAAATACTATACATAGCGCCTGAGCTCAGTACCTTTATAATTTTAGCTGTTTTTGATTAATTTCTACGTTGTTTTATTTTGATTAGGTGCATTAATGTTTGCAACCATTTTATTACTACACTTAATATTTTATATTGATAATAATGTATGACATCTAACATAAAAATTACTATAAAACGATTTAAATATTTGCAAAATAAAATAAATTGTCTTTAATGTTTTTTTATACTTTGTTTTTTGCAGAAACAAAACAAAATTTTACTCCGTAGAAATAAAATATTGACATTGTCTGTCTGTTTGACAGATACTGACAGACAGTTAAATATTTATATATTTTAATAATCTTTTGTTGCAAAAATGAATATATTGAAAACAAAAAGCTAAGATTAAAACTTAGTTAAACTAAAGAGTCTTCAATTTTTAAAAATTTTAT